AACGTAACGGTTAATCCCACTATTCGTTGGTAAAAGAGTAGCCCAAGAGTTGGCGGTGGGTGGTGATGACTAGCTGCCTTCCCTCTAGTCTTACACTGCTAAATTAGGGACGGCAAGCGCAGATAACCCTCATGTAGCTTTGCGCGAAATTCAAAAACAAACAATTACCTCCGATATATTTATCTACAAATAAATATTTTGTAAACTTCATGGCTTTCTTCGATAAAAATATTTATAGAGAATAAAAAAAACTTCTCGTTTGTATGATTTTCAACCAAAAAACAATATTTTCAAGATCGACCTTCTCGTCTTCTTTCACTTACCTTTGTCGAGATATCCGATAAAAATGAATTCAATACGGCTGAATATACAGTACTGGTCTTGTTTACTCTGATGTCTATTTCTGTTGATTTCTGTCTACTTTTTAAAGCTTTAATATATTAAAAACCAAGTTAACATACACACAGAAGGCTACAGCAAATCGTCGTTATACAACAGAAAAAGCTTAATGGTGTAATATGTCCTATTTAAAGCTCAAATGGCCTTTCATAGAATAACAAGGTGTCTGTCATTCCTACATACACTAATAACGAGAATGCCACATCATGGTTAATAAAATGTAACATATATATTATTGTTTTCATTAGAACAGTGGAAACGATTATAAAGGTAGACTACTTTCTAAGCAGTTTTAGTTATGAGACGTTTTTTTGATCCAACAGGTGGTTCGAATGCTCGTGGTCGTTGTCTTGATATTTGCTATTTGCTGGCTTCCCTATCATATCTATTTCCTGTACACCTTCCATTTTCCGGAAGTTTTACAAAATCCCTATGTTCAACATGTTTATTTGGCTTTCTACTGGTTGGCGATGTCAAACTCTATGTACAACCCTATCATCTACTACTTGATGAATAACAAGTAAGTCTTTTACCTAATTTTTTTTCATTTTGGTCACAGCTAATACTAAAGTAAATGAAAAACGGGTATGTTCTATTAGGTCGTCAAGAAATTAATGTCGCGTTTTGGAACACGCCAAAAAAAAACAAAAAACGTACATCACGTATAATAGTTAAACGAACCGCCTAAGCATCACGTTAGTGTAGCCTATATAATGTGTAAAGTTTAGTATACTCTAATCCTTTATATTGATGGCACACGACGAGACACAC